ACCATGTTAATCACGGGACAGACGCGCGTGGCAGCCAAACTTTCTCATCGAAAACCCTCTTGAGGCCACGCTGCTAGCTCAACGGTCCCGTTAGGCCTCAAACTGTCCACCGCGACCCATAATTCGGTTGCGGACCCCGAAGAGAACATTTCCAAAGAAGAATGGCAGACACTTCGGAACAAATGGAACCTCGACTCTACGGAGAGGGCTCCAGGGGCCTTCGAAGCCCAATTAAAAGACGCGGAACGTTTCCACGTCGATCTCAAGCGACCCAAACCCGTGGTCTGGGCCCTAATCAACATTCTACGACACTTCCATCAAGCCTTCAGCTATGAGGGTCATCTCATAGGGAACTACACCAAGATTCCTTATGCGCCTCGATTTATCTCGGCTCCGCCACCCCTTTCGAGGCCACGGTCGTACTCTCCGTTGGAGCGGACAGCCCTCGAGACGGAGCGAGACACCATGATGGGGCTTCAGAGGTGGAAACGAACCACCGAAGTAACCTTCGCCAGCGATCCTGTTATCATTCGCTATGCAGACAAACCCCCGCGCGTAGCCTTCGACTATCGCCGAGCCAACGACTGCATGGCCTGGGATCCATATCCCTTTCCCATCATGCTCGACATCCTGAACTGGATCGTCGCAGTCCCATTCCGATACATATCGGGAGGTGACGCAAACAAAGGATTCTACCAAATCGCCATCACCGATGCGTCGGTACGCAAATGGCTCGCGCTCAGACTCCATGACGGCATCTACGAACCACTCTTTATGCCCTTCGGACCCAAGACTGCCCCCTCGCACTTCTGTCGGGTGATGGACGACACCTTGGGTCCCTCCAAATGGCGAAATATCAACAACTTCGTCGACGATATCCACACACGAGCGGAGACAGCCGCGGAAGCCCTAGACGCCATCGCGGACTGGCTCGACCGCTTTTCCAGAGCCAAACTCACCCTAAGACTCGACAAGTGTCAATGGCTCTTTCACCAGCTCACGGCCCTCGGTTTCGTTGCCTCCTCTCAGGGTCTCGCTACCGATCCAGACAAGGTCGCAACCATAGTCGATTGGCCACAACCCAAATTCATAGGTGACCTATGGTCATTCGTGGGTCTCCTAGGGTTCTACGCCCAATTCATTTCTCGCTACGCGGAACTCGTCCGACCCCTGCAAGACGCTATCCAAGAGGGCGTTCGCGAATACCGAGACCTTAAAAAGGGTCGCGCTGACCCGAAGAAAGGCGCTGAAAAGCTCAATTCACCATCCATGCTCGACACGGCGGTGGCCCCTACAATCACAGCCACCGGAGCCCGATTTGAGGTTTCGCAACATCCGAAATCTAGCTCCTCAGACCTACCGGCGGTCAATCTACGCCAATCATCGCTGGCGGACTTACCCATTGACCCCTTTTGTGTCGGACGCCTTGCTCGCAAGCGCCCCGACCAAGGTCTGCGCAGATTTATCGCGAAGCGTGAAGTTTCATGGACCGATTCCCGAAACTCTGCCTTCGCAGCCGCCAAGCAGGCTCTGACAACAGCTCCAGTGCTCGCGGCACCCAGAAAAGGGTTCCCCTACACCCTTCACAGTGACGCTTCCTACACAGCGTTTAATGTCACGCTCGAACAGTTACAGCCGGATGCTTCTAAACGCCCGCTGTGCTACCATTCCCGAGGCACCACCACCTCGGAAAAGAAGGCCCCCCCCGTCGAACTCGAGGCCGGATGCCTCATTTGGGGCCTCGGAAAACTCCGCCCATACCTCGAAGGCCTGCCTTTCACGGTCATTACTGATCACCGAGCTCTTTTGTGGCTCGCTAAATACAAAGGCGAGAACCGTAAGCTTCTCCGCTGGGCCCTCGATCTTAGTTACTGGTCCGAATGGATGACAATCGTTCACAAACCAGGACGTTTTCACATTGTCGCTGATACACTTTCACGGCTACTAGGAGCGGAAACCCTACTCTGCTCCACCGCGACCCAAATATGGGTGTCGAAACGCGGAAGACGACGGCTGCGCACCACACCAGCTGCTCTCGCACCTTCCTCGACACTGGCAGATGCCGTCTTTCGTCTGGCCTTACAGCCTGCACTCATTGCCGCCATCCGCGCTGGCCTCACCGGCCAGCTCCACCCCATAGCCCAACAGGCCCGCACGCTCCTATGGGAGACCAGCCCCGACACGTACACTACCGCCGACACGCGCTTTCTTCAGGACTGGCAACGTGCAGATAACCTGCTGTGGCACCGTTTTTCAGTCTCCGAAGACCTTTGGCGCCTTTACGTGCCCCCTGCTTGCACCCCTGAGGTGCGCAAGCTTTTTCACGAGGGGGGAGGACACTTCGGATTCGAAAGAACCTACGCTAGAGCTGCAGCGCAAGTCTGGTGGCCGAAAATGGCACAAGATTTCAGAAAACACTGCGCAGGATGTGAAACCTGTCAACGCTCAAAAAGGGTACCGCAACTGATTCCGGGGTTGCTGAAACCCATACCACCAGCTCCGGGATGCTGGACAGTCATCACGACTGACTTCGTAACCAAGCTCCCACTTACTTCCAGAGGGTACGATGCCTTTTGGTTAATAGCATGTAAATGCTCAAAGAGGATCCACGTATGGCCCCTCAAGAGCACTGCGACAGCTATTCAGGTCGCGGAACTCTTTATAGAGCGCTACGTCCCATTGCACGGCATCCCGGAGACCATTATCTCGGACCGCGACTCCAAATTTACGAGTCGATTTTGGCAGGAGGTCTGCAAAAACCTAAAGATTAATCAAGAGCTCACCACAGCCTACCACCCTCAAGGTGG